CCCAGGCTCTCTAGCGCCCTCTATTTGTAGATAGTACTGTTGGTACTGTCAAGCCACGACTACAAATTTGCAGCTATTGCCTCAAACCTCCACTGAACTTTAAATAAAGTACTTGAATTTCTTATAAAACCAATATTCTCATTGTACGAATAAAGTTGAAGTGTCAGTAAAAATGTAAATAAAACAATTTGAAGGTTTTAACAGTAGTTTTCCTACTTCCTCAGTTATAATACTTCTTATGTCATTTTGACCAGGTAACATTTTTCTTCCGTGATTCTTCTCCATCCGTCCGTCTAATCCTTTTCATAGTCGCAAGGGAGCTGCGGCCAATCACAGCCGGGCAAAGAAGAGTGTTTGTTATTCTTTGAAATATCAAGACGTGTGAAGTGATGTGATGATGCTAACTTTATCCAGCTGCTGTCCTTGACTAATGACACTCTTGGCTCAAACACACTTTCTTTTTCTGTTCTGTTACATGATGTTGAATAAGTGAAAAGAGCTACAAATTTTCCATGAGCAAACCGTGTGGAAAACTTTCCTCTTTTTAAAGTGTTCATCACATCAAATGAAAACTGTGTGATTTTACTCAGACCATCTGTGGAGTCCTGCAGGGACGTGATGAGGTCACTCAGATTGTGGCGTGGGACAGGAAACTCTAACTGAAACTCCAGCCTCCTCATTTAGTCTGACAGATTCTAACACATTGACTCCATGTCATATTTACACTTAGATCGTAATAAGGTTCGTGCTGTGAAGCTTTACTCGGACTTTTGTTCAGATTTGTACGTTTTTGAACTTTAATTTTCCCCAACAGTCGTTTGCTGTACTCTTTCGAGGATGTCAGATGATCTATGTGAGCCTGAGAAAGTTCTTCCTTTGTTCCATCTGTGTGGATGTTGCATCACTAGGAGACTTTATTACCCTGACCAGCTGTAATAAACAAGTCTTTCACAGGAAAGAGATGAACATTGTTTACAATGTGTAAAGAATTCACCATTTCCCCCCCAATTTTTTATTTGTGTCCTCTCCAGGTTTGGAGCAGTGAAGAAACACTGTGGCTGTGGTCTGTGTCTCAGGGTCTCTTTCCAAGCTGTAGCTGCTGTCATGGCGTTGTCGTACAAGAAGGACCTGGAGAAGTACAAGGATCTGGACGAAGATGAAATCCTCAACAAGCTGTCAGCGGAGGAGCTCCAACAGCTGGAGTCAGCCCTGGAGGAGATGGATCCAGAGGTCAGAGCGATGGGAGGGTTGAAGGAGGTCCAGAGGAGGGAGTTTCTCTGCTCTGTCATTTATTAGGAAACGGGAGGTTTAAATGTTGCTGAAAACATTAAAATCTATCTATCTATCTATCTATCTATCTGTCTGTCTGTCTGTGAAGTAAGGCAAGACACAGCTTGAAATGCAGTCTGATGATTGTATTTATATTGAATAATATACACTAATCCAGCTTTGAACTGTATTCTTTGTCCTCTTTACAGAGAAACCTACTAATTATGTTGATGTTGTATTTTTACATCCATTTCTACATTTATCTCCATGTGATGCCAGTTACTGAGAAATGTTCTCTTTGGTTCAGAGAACAGTTGATGCTCTGATCTTTTACATAATAGAGTAGACATTGATACGCGCTTAGCAGAAAACATGACACTCAGTCTTAATTAAAGCTCTTGTGAGTCCACAAATCTCACACATATTCTTGTTTCCTTTCCTTGTTTCCCAGCATGCCCTTCTCCCAGCGGGTTTACGTCAGAAGGATCAAACCACTAAGAAGGCCTCAGAACCATTTTCCAGGGATCGTCTTCTCAAACACCTGGAGAAGGAAGCCATTGAGTACAAGGACAGAGATGATATAGTCCCCTTCACTGGAGAGAGGAAAGGTGTGTGTGTGTGTGTGTATATGCATGCATGAATAAGTGTATATTTATATACATGTATGTAAATATACACACAACATACATAAATATATATTTATATATCTGTACATATATGTATCTATACATATACACACTACTATATATTTATGTATATATGACTATATATATATATATATTTATATACCTGCAGAAATATTTGGCAACCACTGCTTTTTATATATTTTATTGTATCTTAAAGTTGACTGACTTTATGAATCACTGTAGAATTTGCCGTCAAATTAGTTCTTTATTTGACACACATATTTGGACTAATATATATACTCAATAATAAAGGGCCAACATTTAAGCGATGGTTAAACATGAACTAAAAATTCCCTGTGTGGATTTGAGGTGGAAACAAAAGTTACATTTGAAAGCACAACTGACAAAAAGAAGGGGTAAAAGAAGAAATCTCATTTGCAACATTGTTGTGTGGAGATTCTTCTCCACAGGAGTTCCTTTAGTCAGATCTAAATAAGACCTGAACAGTACTCCTATACTGGAGAGCAAATATGGAACAGATACCCTGTTACCCTGACTCAACCCCCCGTCTGTTACAGATTATGTGTGTCTGTGTGTGTGTGCATGTGTCTTTGTCTGTGTGTGTGTGTGTGTGTGTACCTCCACACCCTATGACAACATGGAAAACTAAAATTACGGTGGTTGTGAGGAATGTGGCTGATTCTCCTCCCCTTGTTGTACTCGCCCCTTGCTGATAAATGATGTGCTCACGGGTGTTTGTGTTTGTGTGGATGTGGGTGTGTGGGGAGGTTGGGGAGTGCCGAGAGGTGGGGGGGTGGGGTGTAGTGCAGGGGGTCGTAGGCATGCTTAAATGTTGAGGAAACAGCTCTGGCTGTTTACCACTACACTGCTGTTATATCACTGCAGTCCTTCCTGCGTTTCTCTCTGTTTTCATACCGACTTGTTGTAGCCTGGTGTTTTGACTGTGACTGTTGTTGTTGTTGTCACAGCTCAGGGCGTGGCTGTTGTCGCAACAATAAGAAGAAAAAAAACAACGTACTTTTGTTGTCATTTTGACAAAAAGATTTTCAGACAGTTGGCCTGATACTATTCAGATGTGACTTCACAGGATAAAGAGAGAGATCAGGTGTGTGTGTGTATAAAGCAGGATGGATGAGTTTGCATATTGTCATTTGCAAAATCTAGCTCTATATTCATAATAAAGGAGCACTTGCTTTTTGGATGTGACCTGTAGGTGACCTTTTCATGCTCCTGTCATGACCTTTTTTCCTGAAAGAAAATAAACAGCTGTAAATGATGGTTGTAAAGGTGTTGTTCAGTTTAAGGGTGTGTAGTACAAGCTACTGTATTCTTTAGAGTACTGGGAGGGACAATTTCTTAGCCAAACAGTAGGGAACACTCGC